ATTCATGGCCAGAAGCTCCACAGCTGCAGGAATGCTGAGTTAGCCATAAGAATACAGTTCAGCTCTGTGGAAATATCATGAATCAGTGCCTCTACTGAATAGATATAATTTTCCAGTGAAACTGTAAGCTTTTTACATCTTCTTTGAGAGACTGGAGTGGAATGATAACTATCAAAAATATTCTTTTATCGGTACGTGGTTGTTTCCATTCACGGTTATTAAACTTTTTTGAAGGACATTTACTTCATCCACTTACTTTCAATCAGGTCACTCAATGTGCTGGAAGAAATAGGTAATATATTTGGACTGAATAGGTCTGGGATCCATGTAGAATGGGATATATGTGCACATTTTATTCGGGTGGTAGGGTCAGAAATGTGATCTATGGGAAGATTATCTTTAGGTTGTGGTACCAAATATTCAGCATGTTTTTCTTAAAACAAATCCAGTGGCATTTGAGACTTTAGCTGCATGCTGTGGATTTCAGAGACACTTGTTTGATTTCTGGGAGTGCATACATTGGCCAGTGTGTTTTATGAGTACTGGTCTGTTCCTCTTACCTTACTGCCTAGCTTTCTCTTGTAGAAGAGGGAGGTCAAGAGCACCTTTACCTTTGCGGTGAAAAGATTCTTTGAGACTAGGCAAAAAACAAAAAAAACCCAAATGGTAGCAAATCACCACTGAGACAGTAGAGATGGGATCTAACATTCATGAAGGAAATATTCTCTCAGCTCTTTGTTGAAATACCAGTAAGTTAAATGATCATACATAAGTGACAGTCTGCACTTGGAGCTTACAGAGGTCTTGTTGCCATAATTTAAATCTGTCTAAAACCAGTGCCTATATGAATAGTTTCATTATTTCTCATATGACTGTATGGACAAAAATGGACAAAACCCAGTTCTGTTTTAAAAATCACAGTGACAACAGTTTTAAGCACAAAATTGAATAAGTATAATAAACATGTCAGAAGTGTATGAACTAGTTAAGTGGCTAATCTTTATTACAGATTTTAAAATCTTTCTCAGTCAATCTCTCTTTGATCATATGAGTGAGTTAGTTGCAAGCAAATACTTGAACATGCTGTGTGTTTTCACGAGTTAACCTGGGCCTTCACTGAAAGACTAGCTGGTTAGTTAGGGTTTTTTTAAACCATTTGCAGTGATACAACTGGGTTTGATCTGCAACTGACAAGTTGCATCATCCTCAGACTGTTCAGTACACACATGCCTCTTCGAAATCTCTGCTTGAGCACAGGAGTCACACAAGACTTGCGTCATTCAGCTCTGCAGAAAGACAGTTCACCCTAACCGGTCCCCCTCAGTCTTTTCCAGTGAGGTTGGAAAGCTGAGGGGTTTATTGTTTTAATTTGGGTTTTGAAAAGCTATGGCCACCAAAAGAGCCACTAGTTTCAATGAATCTCCCTGGTAAGTATGGATGCTTCTTTGTTACATTGCTATTTGGGTACTATTTTTCCTATGGGAACATAATCTATTCCACTGGAATGGGTTTGGCCAGGGAAGCTGTGAATGCTCCATGCCTGCCGGTACTCAAGGCCAGGTTGGAGAGAGCCTTGGGTGACATGGATTAGTGTGAGGTGTCCCTGCCCATGGCAGAGTGGTTGGAACTTACGATCTTAAGGTCCTTTCCAAGCGTAACTATTCTATGATTCTAAGATGAGAGCTCTTGGTGAACTGGTACCAGGGATTGTTTCACCTTAAAGTGAATTACTCAGGGAATTACAGAGCAGTCAGTCTCACCTCTGTGCCTAGCAAAATCTTGGAGCAGATTCTCGTGGAAGAAATACTAAAACACATGAAAATCAACAAGGTGCTTGGTGACAGCCAACATGGCTTCACTAAGGGGAAATCCTGCCTGACCAATTTGGTTGGCTTCTATGATGGGGCTACAGAACTGACGGACAGCGGTAGAGCAGTTAATGTCATCTACCCGGATTTGTGCAAAGCGTTCAACACTGTCCCACACGACATCCTTGTCTCTAAATTGGAGAGACGTCAATTTGATGAATGGACCACTCAGTGGATAAAGAACTGGCTGGAGAGCCGCACACAAAGAGTTGTGGTCAATGGCTCAATGTCCAGCTGGAGACCAGTAATGAGTGGTGTCCCTCAGGGATCAGTGTTGGGACCGGTCTTGTTCAACATCTTTGTCACTGACATGGACAGTGGGATTGAGTGTGCCCTCAGCAAGTTTGACAATGACACCAAGCTGTGTGGTTCGGTTGATACGCTGGAGGGAAGGAATGCCATCCAGAGGGACCTTGACATGCTTGTGAGGTGGGCTGATGCCAACCTCGTGAAGTTTAACCATGCCACGTGCAAGGTCCTGCACCTGGGTCGGAGCAATCCCAGGCACAGGTACAGGCTGGGCAGAGAAGAGATTCAGAGCAGCCCTGTGGAGAAGGACTTGGGGGTGCTGGTCGATGAGAAAATAAACATGAGCCAGCTTCAGTGTGCGCTTGCAGCCCAGAAAGCCAACCGTATCCTGGGCTGCATCAAAAGGAACGTGACCAGCAGGTCGAAGGAGGTGATCCTGCCCCCCTACTCTGCCCTTGTGAGACCTCACTTGGAGTATTGTGTGCAGTTCTGGTGTCCTCAACATAAAAAGGACATGGAACTGTTGGAACAAGTCCAGAGGAGGGCCACGAGGATGATCAGAGGACTGGAGCACCTCCCGTACGAAGACAGTCAGCAAGTTGGGGCTGTTCAGCCTGGAGAAGAGAATGCTGCATGGAGACCTCATAGCAGCCTTCCAGTATCTGAAGGGGGCCTACAGGGATGCTGGGGATGGACTCTTCATTAGGGACTGTAGTGGTAGGACAAGGGGTAATGGGTTAAAACTTAAACAGGGGAAGTTTAGATTGGATGTAAGGAAGTTCATTCCTGTTAGGGTGGTGAGGCACTGGAATGGGTTGCCCAGGGAGGTTGTGAATGCTCCATCCCTGGCGGTGTTCAAGGCCAGGTTGGCCAGAGCCTTGGGTGACATGGTTTAGTGTGAGGTGTCCCTGCCCATGGCAGGGGGGTTGGAACTTGATGATCTTAAGTTTCTTTCCAACCCTAATTATTCTATGATTCTATCATCATCGTCATTATTATTGAATATCCAAAATGGTTTTGTGGTTTGTTCATTTTTAGCAACTATTTTCATGTTCCACAGACACCTTTGTGTTTTTTTTTATTTTTATTTTTAAAGGAATATAATTCTGCATTATCCTTGAGTTAGAATTTTGTGAGGAAAAGCTGAAGAATATCCCCCCATTCTGTTATCTATTCAACACTTGCCCCTGCCTAAGAAACAAGCCCCATGGCTTCTATGAGACTAGAGGAGGCATGTTTGGTTTGTTGGGTTTTTTTACAGACCATAGCAAAAGTGAGAGAATATTGAGTATTATGTACAGAATAATGGAAAGCATGGTCTAGGCTTTTGCAATTTCCAGCCCTATCACAGTTTAAAACTAGCTTATTTTTTTAATCTGTAATTATACCTACAATAAAATAAATAAGACAACTGAGATTATGGAGATTAAAGGCACAATAACTATTTGGCCTTTCTTTAACAGTTAATTAGCATTTTTAACTATAAGAAAAACACTTTTTTTCTACTGTGTTTATTTCATTAGAAAGAGGATACATGTGTCAGGACACTAAACACAAGCTGAATGTGTATCAATATTTTCTGATGCTGTCCAAAAGTGACAGCAAAGCTAAACAACAGTAATCAAAGTTTACATAATTTTTCAGTGACAGCAGGTAAAATCAATGCTAGTTGATCCAGTTTTGTGTATTTACTTAGCATCTTCATTATCCTAGAAAGCTAAACATGAATGAAGCAGCATTTAAACAGAGGAATAAAAAGCTGTATATTTTAGACCCCTTATTACTAGTAGCTATGCTAGTTTCTACTAAGGATATTGCTACTAGTCTTTATTAGTTTTAACTGGAATCAGACACAAGCTTTTCCTCATGTTGTAGGAAACAGTCACACATCAGTAGGGGGAGGAACAACACCTGACCAGCTGTTGGGGCATGCATCCTGCTTTGTTAGACATCTACTTGTAAAACCAGTGTGGGAAGGCTGGACAAAGTTCTCTACACGCTCCCTAAAAGTGAGACAGAGTAGTGAAAAGTGTGCAATATTGCCTTCCAAAAAATGCTTGGTTTTCACGCCATTAGAAGACAGCAATTGTGGTCCGCGGTAATGTCACTATGACATACAGTGGAGGTTTCCATCTTTTTAAGGGTGTTGCTAAAATAACTTCTTGACATGAGTGTCCAAATGGATGTTAGACCTACTACTGCTGAGTTCAAAAAAACTGCTTGCACTGTTCAGGTGTTTACCTTGTCCTTGTCTTTTGCCATAGCTATAAGACCCTTCTGAAGAGACCATGAGCATGTATTCAGATCTGACCCAGTTCTGTGGCCAGCCTGAATTTTTTCATATGTTCATGAGGAGCAAAAGCAGACTGGATATTATGCCTTTCTATTTTGACTTTCCACTGGGCAAGAGTGGTGGAACTGTCTGGTTAGCCACTGTAGCTTACCAGTCAGCTCCAGCTTTGATTTATCTATCCCAAAGGGTTTTTTACTCACTATAAAAATGTTAACATAATTCTTCTGTGTGCAGACTGGTTTTAATTGTGACTGAAGGTTTACCTGTTGAGTGTACTGGTTTCTTTAGTCAGGTTAACCATGTTGAAAGCATACTTAATAAATTAGGAGAAAAATGGTAGGCAATGGCTTGTAGGAAAGTGAAAGAGAAAGTCTGGTGAGATGAACCGTATTAACTGTAATATCATCAATAGTAATTTAATTTTTTAAGTCTTGTTGTCATTCTTTTATATTATGTCTTTAAATTTCAGAGTGGTTCTTTTTTTATAGCACAGCCTTAGTATTTAGGTAGGTAATGGGATTTATGATTTTGTTTACATCAGTTGCCATGGAGATCTGCCATAAAAGATCAGTTGCCTGGCAACTGGATATTGTGGAGCTGCAATGGAGGGAGGAATTTTTTGTCTCTCTGAAGGGAGGGTTTAAGGAATAATGAAAACTTCTGCTTATAATTCTCATGAATGCTTTATTTTCAACGTCAACCAAATGTTTTTTTTTTTTTTTTTCAGTAAAGACTCATGCACTTTTCTTCAAAAGATGCACTGTAAAATGTTTCTCAAAGATTATCCTGTCTCAGAGAGGACAACCAGTTTAAGAAGTTTTTATTCTCTCCATGCTGTTGTAAAGTAAGGTTTAGAGTAACTGCGAGGCAATCACAATTAATCAGTCTCTTATTTTCCTGCCCATTTGGCATTCATTAACAAATGAGTTACTGTATATTCAAAGCTATCTCTGATCCCAGAAACTACAGTAATTTTTCTTCACTGAATTCATATTTGGAGTTTTGGTCACTGTAGCTTTATCTCTCATTTCATTATATCCTCTCTTATTTCTCCAACATGTAACTTCCAGTGTAATTAAAAACTGAGAAACTGGGATCTTATTACTCCAATATATAGGTAAACTTAAGAAAGAAAACCATGCTAAAATACAGTTTTGCAAGATTGACTTGTAGTTTAATATGTTTCATATATACTTGAATGTATATGGGATGAGACTGTCTCACTTTATATAAAATGTGTACTGTCTACATGCTATTTAATTATTAAATCAACTTTGGGTGAGGTAATTGGTTTGTGCAGATATACTCTGAAACTCGGGTTTTGGAGTCTTTTGAAATAGCTATCTCCCTAGCATCTTCTATGGCATGTTGTATCTATTTTTAAACGAACTTCTTTCTTGAAATGGTCTTCTCCTTATTGTTAGATTTAATGTTTTCTTTTTAATATTACTTTTTCTGAGCTGAATCAGTATTTGATTATAGATTAAATTAATGTGTTTGAACTCTGAATTCCAGTGAAGTACTATGGATAAATCTATGATGTCTTTGTGACACTGTGTATAACAAAGATCCACCTAATCTCTTGGATGAATGGTGAAGCCTGACTCCTGTACGCATTGTGAAATATCAGACTTCTTGGGGTTGAACAGATCTGGTCCATGCACTATCCTAGTGGAAGCACATAGAGATAGACTCTTCTGCCATGAATCCTGCTCCAGCTCGTGGCTCATGTGCACTCCACAATCACTTCAGAACATTTTACACAAATATTACTCAAAGATATCTCTTCAGTCTTTTCTTTGTATCTAGTCCATAGATGTACTGCTTCTTGCTTCTCCTAGTGGTTCTCACAAGTCTAAGAGCCTGGAGGAAAACTGCTGGGCCTCACGAATTTATGGAGTCACCAAGATGGACAGTGCTTCAGATCATGACCAACCAGGCTGCCATAGGTATTTTGGTAGGGTTTCTTAAGAGTGGAAAGCTCTGGAAGTAGTAAAGCACTTTCGAGCATAAGCAATGACATTGTATTGTCAGCTGAGAGACACAGAAATGGTGGATAACTGTAACAGCATCTTGGCATCAATTTTAATTCTTGGCTAAATGAACATAGCATGCTCTGTCATGTAAACATTATAGAAGAAAGGTGCTGGTACAGACAATTACTGAGAAGATGGGAAATTACATATATGACTGTACATTTTACATTGTTTGAAAGTACTTTGAGCTTTTCATACATGGAAGTTTCTATGCAGGGGATCTAAAGAGAAGGGGAAAGAAAATAACACCCTGATTTCTGTAGTGCTGCTTCGGATCAGTACAGAGGCATCAAAAAATGTGGCTTTTATCAAGCACTGACAGATGTGCTTGATAAAAGCACAGATGTGGAACTTAGAACAATTACAAAAATGCTACTAATTTTCTGGTTTGGTATAAATCTTATATTTAATGCCTCGGTACCATTTACACAGCATGGAAGTCTTGGACTTTAAAAAATATACTTCATCCTGGGCATTATTCTTGAAAATCAGCATAGCGTTAGCACTGTGGCAGGAGTGTGGTTAAATTCTCTTAGTTTTCTGGAACAGAAAGACTGTTCTGGTACAAATATGCACATCTACCAAGTAGCAGAAATGTCTGATATGTGTTGTAGACAAACATCCACTCCATGAGGTCTGTAAGCACTGGGGTCTCCTTAAGAAGACTTCACAAGGACAAGCCGTATTTTCTTAAACTTATATTTCGATAGATTTCTCTTATGGAAGGAGCAGGTAAACATCGCTCCGCAGTGATACCTCATAATGAACCGGGGTTTTGTGAATTTAAGGATAACAAAAACAGTCATTAGGCTAATTCCAAGTCTTGGAAAGCTAATTTGGTACTGCTGTAGCTGCAAGAGATGCCTGAATCATGGAACGCAGCTCTACAGGTCAGTGGCCACTGTTCCTAAAAGAGTGTTCAATGAACTTCATCCTTCCCATCTTTCTCATCCTAAGAGCAGTCATAGAATCATAGAACAGTTAGGGTTGGAAAGGACCTTAAGATCATCTAGTTCCAACCCCCCTGCCACGGGCAGGGACACCTCACACTAAACCATATCACCCAAGGCTCTGTCCAACCTGGCCTTGAACACTGCCAGGGATGGAGCATTCACAACTCCCCTGGGAAACTCATTCCAGTGCCTCACCGCCCTAACAGGAAAGAATTTCCTCCTTATATCCAATCTAAACTTCCCCTGTTTAAGTTTTAACCCATTACCCCTTGCCCTATCACTACAGTCCCTAATGAAGAGTCCATCCCCAGCATCCTTGTAGGCCCCCTTCAGATACTGGAAGGCTGCTATGAGGTCTCCATGCAGCCTTCTCTTCCCGAGGCTGAACAGCCTCAACTTTCTCAGACTGTCTTCATATGGGAGGTGCTCCAGTAACCTGGTCATCCTCGTGGCTCTCCTCTGGGCTTGTTCCAACAGATCCATGTCCTTTTTATGTTGAGGACACCAGAACTGCACACAGTACTCCAAGTGAGGTCTCACAAGAGACTTTCTTGGTCTTCCCTCAGCTCTGCTTCTTCCATCTCCAGCCTTTGGCAGAAGGATGTTTATCTTTCACTATTGGTTTCAACAGTGCATTTTGCCTGCATGACTGTATCTTTACCCAAGATGCGCTTGCAGTATCCTTGGTAAGATGCACAATTCATAGAGTCATAGCATGATTTGGGTTGGGAGGGACCTGAAAGATCAGTAGCAACGGAATCATTCCAAATTCCAGAGTATGAGTTGCTCCTGTGACGTAGGAGACCATAATTGCCTTTACTATTTTCCACTAATTAGATTATTCTTATTGTTTATTTTGCTGAAAATGTGACTTGACTTTGGCTAAAGATTGGTGACATTTTGTCAGAATTCAGTACTCTTTGAAGTTGCTGGAAAGATGCTTTCTCTAAGTTGGATTTGGACTGGTCTTCTTACATGATATTGCTACTCTCGTAGTATTAAAACCCCAAGTATTTCTTTATAAGATTGAAAAGGAATGATTGAGCCATTTTTTCGAATTTATTCTTTTTTTCATGGCCATTGCATATTTTCCCGTAATTAAATTCTGAAAGTGTCATGTTTTATTAAGTGAAGAAAACAAAAATTGGGTACTGTAAAACTGTTGACAACAGTGCATTTATTCAACACATACACATAGACACACACTGTCTTCTAGTCACTTGGAGCATCCATCTGGGTAATCTAAAATGGACATCCAAAGCGACAACTTTTCATAAACCAACCCTGAATTAAATTATTTTTCCTTTGAGCTTATTGATTAATTTTGTAAATTTTGTCTACTTTTATAAGGAATAAGAATATTAAGAGGGAAAAACTTGCTTCTTAGCAAAGAATGCTTCCAGAATTATGGCGGATTAAATTCTGCATATATTTACCAAGAGAAAACAAAAACAAATGTTGAAATGATTCCATACTTTGTAAAGGCAAACCAAATATGTTTAGGCTCTGCCAGGCATCTGTTGTGATAAGTCTTATTGCTGTTTCACAAGAATTAAAGTAATAGAATTACGTATTTCAATTCCTCTAATCTCTGCCGACATGTTACTTCTGTCAAGTTTGAAGCCTGATGCATTCCTGACCTTCCCAGCAGCTTTTTCTTATTCCTCTTGGTGGTCTCTATCAACCTTTCATTGAAAGTGTAACTGCTATCACAATAGGTGAATAAAGTCCAGCTATGGTCAGCTTCACAGCATCTTTTCTCTTTCAACACCTTTTTCTGTGCCACACAAAACTCTAGTGCGCTTCATAATTTTAAAGTACCTATTTTATCCAAAAGCAGCTCATTAGTCTATGGTGACTTACTGAAGCATTTATAGTTTCACTGTCTCAGCTGGCAGAACTATTTTGAGGAAGTGGCTCTCTAAAAAGTAACTGTTGCCAGACATTTTGGCAGCGTAAGGTTATGTTACTCTTGCCTTGGTGTAGAAATTCACATAGCTTCTCTGGGTTCAGAATTGCGGAGTCCTGTTTCCCTATCACTTGTTTAATATCATTTGGCTTCTATGATTACAATATTTCTTTAAAATGAGCAAAAAGGTGGCTGTGTGCTTCCCTTCTGAAATTAAGAAGGGTAGAAGACCCTTCTTAATTTCACAGACCTGCTTCTAATAAGTACTTCAGGAAATAGTTATTTGCTTTTCTAAGAAGACCTTTCCTTCTTGCATTCTGCTCCACTTAGTGCTGTAGCATCAATACAGCTAGGTTTTTACTTCTATTCCCTTTTTTTTTTTTTTTTTTTTTTTGTCTTGCACTAGAGATACATTTGCTAAGCTATCCTGCACTGAATTCAGGCAGCACTGGGACCTGTTTTGTGGGTAGAGTGTTTGTTACCAGTGATTACTTTTAAGTGCAGAGAGAAAGGAGCTGAAAAATAGGTTTAAATTGGTCTGTAGACAGAATCTACTAATGCGATCCTAGCTTAAAATGTATATTGATATAGATCCAACATAAACACTGGTCACTAATCACCTGTGAAAAAAGATATCTTCTATGAGAATTAAATGATGTCTGGCTTTTTTCGTTATTACTTAACACATTTTCTTCTTCCCTTAAAGATCTTTCCTTTACACACGTGCACACACACAAATATATATATAATGTCCCCCTTGTTATGAATTAATTAGGTCAAATATTGAAAGAGATTTTAGACTGAAAGATAACATTTTACCTTTTTTTTTTTTTTTCCCTTTCTTTTCTCAAGGAAAGGACAGTTACAGCATATCCTTTTGTGTTTACCATGCTTCAGAAGCAGACTGACCAAGGGAGGGTTTAGTGTATTGTAAATCAGATATTTATAAGTCAATTTGCCAGAGAGAACAAACTGCAGGGGCCCTTCTTCCTCTAGGACTTCAACTAAATACCCTTTCCAATACCCACAGATTTCTTTCTTGATTTAATTTTTAGACCTTCTTTGTAACTTCTATTGTTCAGTTTTTCTGAGTGTGGCCGAAAAAGGATTTGATCTGTTTTGGTTATGATGTAAAACCTTATCAAACATCAAATTGCACTACTTACAGGTCTTCTTAAAGTATGACGAACTTATGTGTATAAACTTAACAAACAAATCCCACCTGGAATATTTTTGCTGCTGGCAATTTCTTGCCCCTTTTCTAACTGTTTACAGTTAAGAATCAGTGTTTAAGCATGGTGACAGAACAACACTCTCAATCTTAATGTATAGAAATGCACCAATCCATACTGTTTCTACATGGCATTTTTAATTTTCACTGTGTTGAAGGTTCGTGCTTAATACCACCTCAGTTAAGCAGTGTTTGTTCCTTTTATTTCTGAAGACCTAACACTGAACTCTTTGGTGCCCCTGAAACACTTAATGATACCACTAATGATGACAACAGAGGAAATATCAAATACTAAAATGGGGCTCTGGCAAATATATCAAAGCAGGACATCTTAAAAAATTCACAATGTTTGGTTTGAGACTATATATGCTGGTGATTTTTCAGCCTACACTTGTGAAGGAGAGAGCTGTCCAAGATGTTGTATGCTTGAAAAAGACAGTATTCTGCTAAATAAATATATTCATTTGCTGTTAACAATGACTATCCCAGATTTTCTCTGCTGAGTAAAGGATCTGATGGAGAATAGTGAGGGTGAAAATACCACAAGCTGGCTGAAATTCCTACTTCTTTTGCATGGATCACTCTGCAATTACACATAAATTCACCTGTGCCAGTTCAGAATCCACCAGCTCAAAATCCACCTCAGTCTCAGGCCACACGAGGTCTCCTGGAAATCCTTAAGGACTGATTTGAAGAGAATGGAGCACAGCTTATTTTCACAGTAGATTCTGAATTTCCTGGCACTTAACTATACTCTTTCACTGGGGGATCTAACATCATTACCGATCAGTGGTTTTGGTAGCAAGACAGCAGAATTTAACCTGCCAGCATTTAATGGCATAGCCTCACACAAATTTCTAATCCAACAAGTTAAGTAAATATGCTAAGAGTAGAATACATGCACTGTGAGAAACAAAAATGTGTACTTGTTCTTAGAAGAGGAGTAATGGTGGATTTGTGGGTACCAAGTCCAACAGGGTCCAGTTGATCTCAGGTGCTGCTTTCTGTGAGCTACTTCTGGGGTCTAAATGGAGACAACAACAAGGACTCATCAAGATGCTGCAAGCATTTTGAGAGGGTAGGCAGCCAGAAAGAAAGGAAATTCAGGGGCAAGTGAGTGAAATGAAATTAGAGACAAAGACGAGCCAAAGTAAAGGAAAGAGGAAAAACATCCTAACAGTGCAATCAGCTTCGGTATAGAGTGGTATATCTCCAGGAAACAAGTGAGAGACCCACTAGCTAAAACTAGGAGTCATGGTTTATTAATGAAAGTACTGTATGGGATAATACTGAATAGGCATAGCAAACATGTCCATGGTGATTGCCTTCTTTATGGCTATCATTCTGTGCCCACGGCTATTTGCACTGTTAACTACAGAGGGAGGTATGAGGGGGAACTTTGCACCCTGCACAGAGCCAAGAAATTTCAAGCTGAAGCTAAAAAAGTATGTATTTCAGAAAAAAAAGAGACATGTTCCCCTCCTTGTCTATTCCAGTTCACTTGCCAACACACATTCAGCCAAACCCAGGACATTCTGATAATCTAAGAGCAGCAAAAACTACGAAGACAAAACTGTTCTTTTCCTTAATAGTCTTAACTTCCAGGAAGCTAAAGTTGCTACTGAAAAAAGTTACAAAGCTGCAGTTAGAAAGGGAGGGAAGGGCCACGAATGACTGTGGAGGAATGGGAAGGGAAAGGAAGGTAAGGGGAGGGGAACGGAAGGGAAGGGTGTCCTGGATTCAGCAGTAACGGTCATTTTTCTCCTTCTTAGTAGCTGGTGCAGTGCTGTGGTTTTGACTTTCAGCCTGGGAACGGTAGTGATAACACCGATGTTTTTAGCTACTGCTCAGTGATGTTTGCTCTGACCAAGGACTTTGTGAGCCTCATGCTCTGCTGGAGGAGGGGAAGCTGGGAGGAAGCAGAGACAGGACACCTGATCCAAACTGACCAAAGAGGTATTCCATACCACAGCACGTCATGCCCGCTATATAAACTGTGGGCAGTTACCCGGAAGGGTTAGATCATTGCTCGGGTTGGGATGGGTATCAGCTGGTGATGAGGTGTTGTATTCTTTTCCCTTGTTATTTCCCTTATCATTATTATTATTGGTGGCAGCAGTAGTGGTTTTGTGTTATACCTTAGTTACTAAACTGTTCTTATCTCAACCCGTGGGAGTTGCATTCTTTCGATTCTCCTCCCCATGCCTCCGGGAGTGGGGGGAAGAAGAAGGGTGGGGAATGAGCAAGCGGCTGCGTGGCTCTGGGTTGCTGGCTGGGCTTAAACTATGACAGCAAGGGAAGGCAAGGCAATGGAAGGCAAGGCAAGGGAAGGCAAGGGAACAAAAAAAAAAAAAAAACCAACAAAAAACCCACACGAAGAAAAAGGAAAAAACCCACAAAAAAAAAGAGAACCCCCACCCTAAAACCTCATTCCCCCTGTTGGATAACAAATTCAATTATGGCTTCAGTCACAGTGGCTGGGAGATGGATTTTCTTTTGTTTCTTCTGTTCTCTAGAGAATTGAACTTTTCTCAGCGTCAGGATCTAAATATCAGTGTGTCACTACTGCACTCTGCTTTTCTCAGAAAGATGACTGGGGTTTGTTTCCAAAGCACATTGAAAGGGTACCCACCAACCACATATGTAAAAATTTATTACAGAGTAATTTCCTACCCAGCCCTTATTCTTTGCCCCCTCCTATGAGTCATCCTTCCAGAGAGCTGCCTTTGATGGGGGGCTGTGGCTGGAGGATATCTAAGTCTCATCGGCATGGGTATGCTATCAAAAAAGAATGTTGGTTCACTTTTCTTCTTCATGCCTAACTAGCCAGAGAACAAATATTCAAAGACACCAAATAAGAGCTGTTTTTATGAGAAATCTGAGAACAGTTTTGTCATTTGCTTTTCTTGTGGAGAAATACTTAGTTTCAATGAGACTTTCTGCCTCCCCCCTTTTTCTTGGAAGGAGTATAAGACAAAAAAATGAATTGCCAATACTGTGAAATGTGTTTGCCCCTGAAACAACTCCTCTAGCCTTTCTAACTTGAAACTTTACAAATGCATTTTAAAATGATGACAAACTCCCCCCACCCCCACCTTCCATTTGTTCTATTTTTCTACCAAGTAGCACTGCACTTATTTTGATAGCTATGATCTTTAACAAGTCACACTTTCTGAAAGCAGTTTGTCAAACGATCACTGAGGAAAGGTCTCCAAATGTTAACACGTGATGTGACTTTGACCCCTAGCTTTTTCGTTTAACGCTTTCTTCCAGAGGCATGCTCCCCGTCCCTCTAAGCTGGTTGTACCTTCTAATCTGGTTTCCAGCAGCTGGCATTCCTGGTGTTGCTGTCCCCCGGCCAGCATACATAAACAGCTTGGGACCGCCCACCCACATACAGTGTGAACACCGGTTTCAGACATCCACAGCGACTCAGCTGGATTTTCCTAGCAGCTTTTCCTTAACCTTTGCTAAAAATGAATGTGATCTGCTTAATTACAATCAAATGTCCCACTATCTACTCATCTGTGAGTTGCATATAATTACAAACACAGTGGTGCGTGATGTGCGTCTACACACCATGGGGCCAGATTTTCGAGTGTGCAGTGCTGACAGTTGGGGTCAGACACTAAAAAAAAGCATGGTTCCAAATACTTGGATACTAAACTCTTTTGAAAATCTAGGCCTGTGTATCAGTGTATACTTGTATATATGCACTGTATTGTTGTCAACAGCTACTGTACATGCTACAACCCTTTGGAGCTCCCAAGCCCATGTTTTGCCCCTAGCCACTCCTTTAAAATCGCTCATGGGGCAGAATACTTCTTCCCCTCCTCCATTCTAGCTAAAAGAGAACTTTAAAAATAATTACACCCCTCACAGGCTTTCAAAAGCATAGCTTTATTCTGTGTTCTCTGTAGCTGCAGATAACAACAGAGCCACCATAAATGACATCCATTTACTGTTTCTGGTATGCATCACAGGCACACAGAATATGCTTCTAGAAGCTCTGTAAGTAATTCTTACGACAGAAACAAACTGTACTCTAAGTTTTTTCATTCCAAATCTGCAAAAGGGAAAGCATAAAATTACTATATCACAACAAACATCACATAAAATTTCTGTGCTTTGCAGCTGTAATACAAAAGCTACCTATTGGCTTCCACTAAGGTTGAAAACAACCAGTGACTTCCACTGCAATTTTTCATGCTCTTCCAGTAAAACTATGATTTGGAAACTTCTTATGCTTCCCTAAAGATGATTTTTTTTTTCTTTACTTGTAAAAACTTAAACTCTCTGGTAAACAGAGATTTAAAAAAAACATTAGACTACAGAAATGCAAATTGTTATGAAACAGTGGCATGCTTTGACGTGTTTGAAACAAAGTGAGACAAAAGCAAATGGAAACACACAGCACTGGTTTATTTTAGCAAGAATCAGCTGACAAAGGTGAACGATGTGTGTACTATATGTGAACTATGTGTACCTCTTTAGGCAATATCATGTAATAAGATGAATTTTGCAGGTAGTGTACACCCAGCTTCAAATAAATGTTCCTGAAAGCTGCAGGATGGTGTCCCTTGTGCTCAAAGAAGCTACGATAGAGCAGGCAGGAGTGCAGATCGTCCACAGGATGTGCTCATGAAATCGTGGTGACAGCAGCCATTAACGATGAGAAGCAATAGACACATATATCTCTAGTGTTTCTCTTTCTCTTCATAAAAAGTGCCTATCAGCTTCTTGTAGACATATGATTCCTTATAGGCAGATCTTCCAAAATTTTCCACTGAAACAAGGTAGCATTCAATTTGCACTGAAACATGCGAATGCAGTGATTTGGAAGGCAGCCCATTAAAAAAGCAGAACAGAATAAACCAGTGCAAAATATTTCACAGGTTTGAAGGGAATATTTTGATTTTTAATAGGAACTTGAAAAAAGACTTTATCAACTAAAGAAAAAAATAGAAGAAAAATATCAAAATTAAGAAGTAATATTTTGATACGCTTTTAATGTAATACTACAATACTCAAATTATTTATTGAAATTCTGTATTTGTAAGAAAATTCTAAATATAACAAATTTACCTGAGTTAAAATGAAAACAAATTTTGAATAACCGAATTTGAAGTTCCCACACAGCTCCTCTTTGAAGTCTTCAGCTGTGAAGTCAATTAGTGACATAGATACATACCATATGGCTTTTGCCAAGTGGATGCTCTAGGAATTTAAATTATCCTTTTTCTTTCCCTTTGTGTTTTTACTTTATTAGTGTAAAACTAGAAGATTAAATTAAAATAAAGCAAGTATCAGTATGCATATAAGTAGAAGAAATCGAAGTAAATATTCAAGAAGAAACCCTAGATTTCCTCCTAGGGTATGGTATCTAACCTTCACCAGGGACTGGGCACTGAAGGTGGAAGAGATGCAGAGAGAGATACTTGGAGCTGTGAGATGCTGAGTGACCAAATTCATCCCTACTGCAACTCTGAGCAGTCATGGGCTTTGCAAAGACCCAGAATGTGTATGTACTTTGTTCTTGCGCACAGTGACACCAAAACTGAATTCTCCATCACACTCCTCAACCCATTCAGGAAATCCTCTGCCGTACGATAATTCATTGAATCTGGGAAACTTACAGCTTTTCCCCCTCATCAGATTGATCCTGAAACCTACTAATTGCTGGGTCAGCAATGTTCACGAGATTTATATGATCAGAAGAATGATAAATCTCTATCACAATTCTACTCTTTCTGACTGACAGCAATTTGAAATCAGCTGGAATTAAGTGTTTACAGCAGTGTTGATTTATCTGTAGCCATGTTATTTTTAGACTATTTGATAGTTTGACATACCATTGTACTGTATAAGAATGGCAGATTGTCCTGCAGAATTCTGTCCATGGGAGGAAGGCTGAGTTGGGGGTTTTGATAAGCCATATTCTCCAAGACATTATATCTTTAACTTTCTGTGTGAATTGGTTTCTGTATCACTATAGGAATGTGAGCTGTATGATCCTAGATAAGGTTGATCACAGACTTAATCTGGTTTGTTTAGCTTTCAACAATTAACCGAGAAGTAATATTCCCTGCCTTGTTTAAGTCCTCATTTAGTTTTCTGGGTACCAGGTTATTTATTTTTTTGTTTAAGACACTATAAAAGTCTATTTAACATTATAATAGTAATCTAAATTTCAAATCTGAATTTTTCATCTGCTTAATATATCCTTCAAGATGTCTAGTTCATTTTCATGTCTAAAATTTCTCTCTAGCTTGGAAAACTCATAATTTCTTGATGGCTAGAAACCATACCTTGTTTGGAGAACCTTGTAGGAGTTCCTCTGTACTCTTTCTAGGCTTCCAGTCTCTGACTACCTAGCTTCCAGGAGTTGAGATTACACAAACTGTTTACCTTAAGATAAAGACTCCTATTCCGGGGAGCAACGATGCTGATTCCCTTTGACTTCCAGAGCTGTAATCCAAACCTAATAAGTAAATATGGTTTTAACTTTCAGTTTCTCAGTTGTTGTGTTGACTATTCACATGTTTGAAGTTAAGTGAGATTGTAACACTCATGTTCAAGTTATTTGCTGCATGCTCAAATTAGAAACAGTTTTGAGGATGCTTTTAAGAATGTGTTTCACCCTTCAAAAGCATTACTGTGAAATCCACAAAGAATGGAGCATGCAAAAGCAGAAAAAGTTGAATTTGGCTAAAACGCATTTTCAAGCATAAATACTTTGCAAAGAACAAAACCTCGCCCCTGGCAAAACCAGTTTGGAATGGAGATGATTGTTTTGCTGTAAAATTGTTTTCTGTCCTAGCACAGTTTTTATGGAGGTTATTGCTGCTTCATTTGCACGTTCACAGAATCAATCACAGAATCACAGAATCATCCAGGTTAGAAGGGGCCTCTGCAAGTCATCCAGATCAGCCTTCCCAGAGCAAATGTCATAGGGCTTTGCCCAAGTTTTTGCCTTGTTCGTTTTTGAACAGCTACAATAGCTGTAAAAACTCTCCTTGTTGCTTGTTGCCAGTTACAAATCTACATAAACCCAGCTCTGAGCTTTGGTGTAAGACCACCCCTGCATGCCCGAGCAACATTCCAGTATTGGCTCCCCTTTTATGGCCTGTCTTTATGTATAATTTTGAATTCTAAGAATAAGGAGTAAATGTTTCAAAAATAGCCGTAGAGTCCTACAGAATTGAAATGACTGAATGAGTACAAAATCGTGCAACTTTTGTTTTAGTTTTAGATTATCTCCCCTTCACCTGTATTACCTTCTATTACAGTTTATGCAATTGAGTTTTATTGGCCCAAGAAAAGTAACTTAAGATTCTTATTCATATCTATCCATGGCAATGAACATTTAAATTACAAAATTTCAGGTATTCTTGTTGAAAATATTGTTGCATACTCGCATAATCTGGGATCAGCAACAATGTGATATGAATTAGCTGAAACTAACCAGGATAGCTGAAGTAACACAGCTTTTAGTGTGATTCATTAATGAGTAGCTAAACAACTAAATTGCTCATAATTAATACGTATTTTTTTAAAATAGCTCAATGCCTTTTAATTTAAAAGAAAGGGGATTTTAGAAAATAGAAGACAACAATCACTATTTTTGGCACAGCTACTATGCAAAAGATATTTAAACTATGAATAAAGCCTTATCTGTAGCTATTCACACATTGTGCAATCATGAGCGATAGCTTACCACCACTCAGGAAGCTTGCTCTATTGGATATCATCTACATTTACATTATGTCAAAAAAGTTGGTTATGATAACCTGTGTTCCACATACATTTATCATACTTTCTATTTGCTGATCTACTGTAGCATCTGTCATTATTTACATTTCATAGCAGTAACACAGGAACTAGAGTAGCCCTGCTGAGTAGGACTTGGGGGTGTTTGTCGATGAGAAAATGAACATAAGCTGGCTTCAGTGTGCACTTGCAGCCCAGAAAGCCAACCGTATCCTGGGCTGCATCAAAAGAAGCGTGACCAGCAGGTCGAAGGAGGTGATCCTGCCCCTTTATTCTGCTCTCGTGAGACCTCACTTGGAGTATTGTGTACACTTCTGGTGTCCTCAACATAAAAAGGACATGGATCTCTTGGAACAAGTCCAGAGGAGGGCCATGAGGATGATCAGAGGACTGGAGCACCTCCCATATGAAGACTGGCTGAGAAAGTTGGAGAAGAGAAGGCTGCATGGAGACCTCATAGCAGCCTTCCAGTATCTGAAGGGGGCATATAGGGATGCTGGGGAGGGACTCTTCATTAGGGACTGTAGTGATAGGACAAGGGGTAATGGGTTCAAACTTAAACAGGGGAAGTTTAGATTGGATATAAGGAGGAAATTCTCTCCTGTTAGGGTGGTGAGGCACTGGAATGGGTTGCCCAGGGAGGTTGTGAATGCTCCATCCCTGGCAGTGTTCAAGGCTAGGTTGGATGAGGCCTTGGGTGATATGGTTTAGAGCGAAGTGTTCCTACCCATGGCAGGGGGGTTGAAACTTGATGATCTTAAGTTCCTTTCCAACCCTAACTATTCTATGATTCTATGATTCTATAACTTTTACTAAGCAATGCATGCCTTTTACAGGACAGAAAAACATTAGATTGACCAGAGTAATGCATAATTTTGGCTGTTTGTTACATTTTTGTTTGAACATATAAAACCTTCTCTTTTTCTTATTTTCTAGTTGAGTATTCCTTGTGCAAATAATTGTTCTGTCCAACAACATTAATAATAGTCACAAATTTTTCATCACCACCTATTGGCCAGGTTTTCATAAACTGCTGTTTTTAACCTGCCTGACTGTGCCCGCAATAGATTAAGGACTGTTTGCACATTTGTCAGCTATGGTGAATTCTGGCAGAGAGGTGGCAGAAAAAACCACCACAAACAACAAAATAGAACAAAAGGAGGTGATGCCATCTTTAATTCACTCAACTAGATATGGCAGAGACTAACAATAGGCTTAATCTGAAATAACTTCTGAAATTGCACTTCATAACTTCATTACATTTAAAATAATCTTGAAAATATTAACTGGCATATATTAACCTGCGAAGAGAGTAGAAATATAAGACAGAGGCATGCATTTGTGCATGGAGATAATTATTATTTTGATCCCACTTCTTTCAGCTTGGAAATAAGACAAGACTGAAAAATGAGTATTAGTGGAAATTGAAATTAGAGCATCAGAAATACATAAAATTGCAATAGCTAGTGACTTGACATTCACAGGAAAATATATG